TATGTGTTAGCACGCTTTTAGGCGTGTAGAGGTATGGATTGCAGTGTGTCACACCGCATATAGTCTGTAGCTAAGGTATAAGTGAGGTGACGACACAGGGAATCACTACTTAACTAAATATGTCCTATGATATACCAGTGAAGGCCGGCGACATATTGGCGTGAGACCAACATGACCAATACCCTCAACTACATTATAATGCGGCACCATACAGCACCAGCGGGCCTGGACACCGGCACTATAAGCCAGTGTTATCAAGGCACACACAACACGGCCTAGTCTGTCTCACAGTCCCTCAACCACATTAATTTCCCTAATGCCAAGCCCTCTCTGCAGTGCTAAAGCCCTAAATAAAGCAAGTCTAGATTTCCTCAGGTTCAGGATCTCTGGCCTCTCTAGGGCTCCTTTTCAATTTAAATGGGCTTGTTTGTTACTATCAAAATTATATATATTCAGAGACTAAGCCTTAGTCTAAACACGGCCGTGCACCCATTGTACTGGGGAAACTTGAATAACGCCACATGACTACACAAGAACGCTACATGCTGAAACATGGGCCTCACATATCCTACCAACTCAAATTTCACGTTAGCCTAAGCCGACCACGAACCGCGGCGCAACCTCATCACATGACGTAATAACTCCACATAATCTGTGACGTAACAACATTCCCATGTTCAACTAGCGAAGGTCAGCGACCGAACATGTTATCTAATGGTTTTACATCATTTGACCGTTGTAGATTGTTGAGAATTCAGTGCAAGCCATGGAGATTTTATGTTCGCTTTAACAGATCTTAATGCCACTATTGACGAGCCTTTGTGTGAAATAATGGAGAGTTATGGAATTATGAGTTAATTTACTAATTTCAGACTAGCGTTTGTTTGGATACTATGTGCTTTGAATGTCTTTCTAAACCGAGCAAGTCAACTTCAATTCGTATGAAAACGAACTTTACACTTGGAGTTAACTGCATCTTCCAGTTGATACCCGACTTGGGGCCAGGACGGCATTGTGCAATCTAAAAATCCCAGCTGTTACAAGTATTATAAATTGTTCTAAGATGCCTAGCGGTTAGAACAATCAAAAAAAAAATACATTACCAGACAATAAAGGTATATTTTTTTGATGACGTAACAATTGAATGACGTTATCCCGTCACTGCACCATTCTAGTGTGCCCCCTCGTAATCGAACCATTTTAGATTACGTCACAATGTAAGCGACGTCACGATGCATGTCAGTTGTCATCGCCACGTACGGCCTCCTACAGTAAACTACACCGTTGCACCCAGTTTCTTGGTTTGCTGTTGTTTTACGCAGCTAACATCACTGGTGGAAACATTACGTTTATGTTTTACGACGGTTAAAATGTGTCATTTCGACTCACAAGTTTTCAGCGACACGGTAACGTTCGTAATGTTTACATTCCCACAATGCAATTGTGGAATGTCGCTTGACTACTCAACTTCCTCTGGATGTACTGATCTAAACTTACGCTGGTAGAAGAAATGCAACGTTCATATTGCCCCATATGGTTTACGTTAATGACAGATGTAATTAAAATAATTCAGAGAAGATATCTAATCCGAACGTAAACCGTCATCAAACTGTTATCATTTGTTTTTTTTTCTGGTAACGTTCGTCTTAACGTAGGGGGCAGACACATCAATAGAACAGCGCGCCAGTTAGCCCTGTGCGAGGATTCTTAATTTAGGTCACCGACACCGTAGTTTGTTTTCTGCCTTAAATTAATCGTAATTATCTTTAGAAAGTATTAAATTTGGCATCTTAGAAAAGAAATACACTTCGCCCTACCACCATGTATAGTGTAATAAAACACACTTTCGCCCTGAACTATTATAGTTAAAGCACGAGGACGCTTCCACAATTGCATTGCGTCCGAAATTTGGCATCTTAGAAAAGAAATACAGTTCGCTCTACCACCATGTATAGTGTAATAAAGCACACTTTCGCCCTGAACTATTATAACGTTAAAGCACTCGGACGCAAGCGTCCTCGTGCTTTAACTATAATAGTTCAGGGCAAATGTGTGTTTTATTACACTATACATTGTGGTAGAGCGAACTGTATTTCTTAATTCTAAAGTTATATCGGCTTCTCATTGCAGTCATTATACTATGAAAATCTATTTTATTTGTACTGGCGACATATTAAAATGACCATAAAGCAAACATTACTCTATAACATCGCTTTCAATACTTCTTACAATATATTTCTTCAGTTTTAGTCTTAAAAGTGATGTTTCTATTATATATAGTAAAGACAATTTAACGAAAGAAATGCTTTAAAGTTTTCATTTAGAGAACGGCGACTCGAGACATGAACCGTGGACGGGTCGACATACAATGATGCTGCCGAAACGCCCTCGGGTGCCACCGTATCACGGTTATAACACTTATTCAGCGCTACAGACAGACTGTGTTCACCGTAGACGTCCACGCATCAAAATGCAAAAGTTTCATCCTCACTTGAGTAGATGTTAAGAAATTCATTAAGGAAGGAGGGTAACGTTTCTTTTGGCGTTTAGTGTATACACTTCTGGAATAAAGTAATTGTGCATTATTTTATGTTATGCCATTTTTAATGCAAAAAAAATATTAACATGATTTGTGGTGTATTCCTTAATCACTGACATGACAATATCGAAATCTGTATGATTTGACATTAGGTATCGTGACACATCCTTGAAGAGATTGTGGTGTCAATAGTCGTTCAGAAATTCAGTATCGTGTTTGTGCACCATTGGCGTTGATGCAGGCATGACACATAGACGACACTCAGCGATTGAAGAAAGTTTGGGGAATGTTGTTCCATGTTGTTCAACTCTTGTCCCAATTTCGCTAACGTCAATAGCTGACTTTGGGCATGACGTAAACGTCGCTCCATTCCATCCGAAGCGTGCTCGATAAGGGACAGGTCCGGAGAAACAGCTGGCCAGGAGATGTTCTATTGTCTCAGGAAATCTGTCACAACACAAGCGACATATGGACGGGCATTATCTTGCTGAAGCATGTCTCTGTCCTAGAATGAACGCTTGCACATGAGGCCCAATGATCTCGTCCCTGTATCGCAGACCTGACAGAATGCCATTGACAATGACTAGTTGCGTCCGACCATGAGATTTTTGTTGTCTCCCCACCCCCATCAAACTGTCGCCGTTGAACAACGCAGGCGTCAGCATTCCGTTCACCTCGCCGTCTGTAAACCCTTGCCCTGCCATCTGAGCTGTCCAGACGAAATCTCGACTCGTCAGTGAACAAAACACCATCCCAATCTTGTCTCCCATACCGTATATACTGTCTGCACCAGGCAGTGACGCTGGAGAAAAATTAGACGAATTGCTGGCCGTCGGGGCCGGATGTTGTGCTCCACCACACGGTTCTGTACAGTCCTGGTACCGATTGGACGTAAGCCAGGAATGGTGAGTCATTTGCAGTCCGGAATCGATTCCTTAGATTGGTCAGCCGAATGTGGTTGTATTACTGACGTTATGTCATGCGTTGAAGGCCAGTCCGAGGCAAATCTTTCGTGTTCCAAGTATGTTGAAAACGTCTCCATAGAGATGTGATCATGTTTCAATGGACACAAAATGTCTGGCCACTTCATTTTGGGGCATTCCAGCCTCCAACATACCCAGGGCACGGAGATGTTGACTTTCTGTAAGCCGTGGCATGACGTACGTGCAGTTTAGGTTGAAATTAACATGTTTTCCACAACATTCAGGAGCTAGAGAATAATCAACCGTTCTACAACTTCCAATATCAGGTGTGTGAACTTCAGGTGTCAAACAACATGCAAACAGTAAGTTCATTGTGCACAAAGTGCACGTGCCACGCATGCAAAGTGCTTTGCTACATGTTTATTTAGGGTTATTTTTATGACTTTTCAAATCACTTTTATTTTATGCAATTTTATGTTACGTACAGTTTCTTTTTTCCATCAGTACATAATGAATCCTGAAGCTTCTGATTGTAGGGAGCCACTTATGGCAGTACTTGTGTTGCTGCATTGGAGGCTTTCAACACCACAGACCATGACAAGATCAAAGAATGTCTTAGAATAGACTATGGCATCAACAACTTGGCACTTTCTTTGTTTTCCTTTTATTTTAAAGGACAAGAAGAGTCTGTTACTATCAGAGGTGTGCAGTCTAACCCTAATTGTGGCTAGCCCAAGGTTCGGTTTTAAGTCCAGTCCTTTTCACTCTCTATACAAACAAACTGGTTCATCTGATAGACAGTCATGACATCCTCACTTGTTGATGATATCCCAATAATCGATGAATGCCAAGAAGTGGCTTTCTCCATCATAGAGCACTGTTTAGTTCATCTAAAATATTGTATGACAGAAAACATGCTTGAGATTTGAGATAAATGACTATACAACTGAAGTCATGCATATTGGTCCTCACCAATGGCTACCTAAGGTTAAGACTGACAAAATCAAAGTGGGTGAGTCTGATAGTGACACAGTCAAATCCTCAGTATAGTGCTGGACATAGACCTGAAGATGAACCGCTATGTGAAGGATATCTGTAGGAAGGAGTATTTTCATTTCAGAAACATCGAGAAAAATCTGTGATGTATTGACTGATGCTGCTGCCTGCAGCTGCAATATCAAGATCAGTCAGTTCTGTCTAGAATAGGCTATTGTAACAGCCTGCTTAGTGGAAATCTTAAGAAATCTTAAAACATACGTATATCTCACAACTATACTCAGCAGCAAAATAAACGTCAATACGAATTCAAAATTAGATAGGCACCGAATCAAATCATTACAGGAATTGACATAATAAGCAGATAAAATTTTTTTGTGTGTACAATATCTTGACACATCAACGAATAACTTCCAGAAAGGACACTGGAGATCAAACAAGACAACTAACAATACATCATGAAATTGATACACCTACCATTATGGAAAATATATTATATTGATGATTGTAATCTTTTATTTCATTAATATATTTCAACACAATTTTGTTTGAATTAAACCTTTATTGCAATAGTTCATTTCATACATCTCTTAAAATATACTTGTACCTTTCTCAAGATCATATGAATGCCAACATTGTTAACATTCTAGTATTCTGACAAGTGTGTGTGAACAATAACAGCAATTGAACATAGTTCAAACAGAACCAAGTGTCACAATTCTCACAAACATGCATAGATGCATTTTAGTTGTGTTACTTCAGTAATGGCTTCAAATACATATGAACATGTTCCATTTTGATAAAAGTTTCAACAAACACATTGCCAAGCAACACAATGTCCTTCTCTTGCTTTGCCTCGTGAACTGAATATGTGAAACATAACCATAGCGTTTTGAGGACATGTGTTATAAATAATCCACTGGTTGAATGTTGTGGTGCAGAAATAATCTTAACCCAATACACATACACAAAGAGACCTGTCAAACGACATATAGTCATCATGACAGAGCACCAACAGTACAGGTATATATGACAGAGAGTGTACAGCAGGTGTAATACATGCAATCTGGGAGATATTTAGCTGTGTTATAGGCAACACTGAAACAACAGCAGGTAACAGGAACAACACAACAATAAGCAACTTGGGGCTTTTCCTCACTACCTATCACCTAAACATGTTTAAGTACTATATTCCCTGGACAGGGGGATCCTGGATTAAGTAACACAACATCATTATCACCTGTTTCTCAGCAAGCCCATATGGTTGCTGGGGAGGTAACTCTTGCCGTATATCTGTACCTACAGTTGAAGAGTGTTCAGCACTATAGCGCTACCAAAGCACAACTCTTCACTATACTGGTCATTAGTCTACATCAGAAGAATTCAACGTCTTTGTTACATTTTCACTTTCATGTTTTCCCAATTCAGTGATACATCCCATTGTTTTAGATTTTGTTGTTGTTGCCATTACCCTCATCTACATCTTATGTGGTCTCTGGACAAAGCAAGGACTTGATCGCTGGAGTTGGTTTCACCTTGCATGACTGTAGCACATGTCAAACTGATGGACAGCAAATGATTACCTATCTTCAAAACTGATAGGAAGTAAAATCATTGGTGAAATATACTGACAAATGTCTCAACATTTGAGAGTGATGGAACAGGACAAATGGACAAATGATTTGTTGGTGCAGTGTTCACGTTACACAGACAATATAGAATGGGTTTATCATACTGTACTGCTTTGAAACAGTCATATGATGTGCTAGGTCTCAGAGCATTCAATAGAATGCAAAGATGTCATTGGCATGCCTGATGTTATGAAGCATCCTTCATCCCCACATCCAGCTGTAACGGAGCCACAGTACAGTCTGTATCAGTACAACCTGTTGAAGCGTGACTTGATATTAAACACCACTTGCTACCTACAACTGTTTGCTATATCACAAGCAGGACAACTTTACCACAGCTCAACACCAATGGGATCACTTGGAAAATGTACTTGTATATAGGTCAATGAGTGGCCATGTCCGAACTGTCGACTTGTGCAGATGGGAACATAGCCTGACATCTATGTTCATTTTAACATTGCTTGAAGAATGTTGTGCTGATGTGGAGCTCCAGTCAGGCCAGCTCTAAAAGAACTTGACCCCCTCACTCCCATCAATAAGCTCTGCTTTGCCTTGACTTTGTAGGGTCTTGAGTGCCCGTAGTAGCAACCAGTTCTCTAAACCATGGAACTCTGCAGCCAGAATTATAAAGTTTGAATCAACAATGACTTCAGGCTTAAAGTGGAAATATACATATAATTACAGAATCTTTAACTGCTTACAATACAATAAAAAGTCCATATGTATAATTTTGCAAGAACCATATCAAGCTGCAAGGCTATCAGTATGATACATCACTTTGCAGGACAAAGTGTGTCTGTATGATACAGTTTATCAGGCAGTGCTTGCTATAGGTACCTGCACCTGTTATAGGGCTCTAGCTATCGGAATAACTAGTCATAGACACTTGCCATCCAATGCCCAATGGAGTACAACTTTCAAACAGAAAATACCTACGTGTCCAAATCTATCTCCATTCCTCTATCATGATATATAATCAACAATGCTGAATGCAGAACAAAGTGACAGGTCTCTAACTCTAACCACTGACTTCTCTCCTACATTAGAAACACACACATTCATTAAGTTTCCACAGTAAATATTAAACAGTGTAAAACTTAAACCCAAGGATATCTAACTTATTTTAGTATCTCAAAACCACTAACCTGAACACGACATGTAAGATGAACATACTGACCTTCTGATGAGCTATCATCACCCTCACTTATTTCATAAAAGGTGCACACTGTATTTGTCATACTTCGGTCACATATCTGCCAAAAAAAGAAGAAGAGACAAACAATATATTTAGCCATCTTGAGCAGCTATAATCAAGCAGTGTCTTGCAAAATCTACTACCACACATTGTCTGGATTGCAGCTGTTTCCATCTTACATTGTCTGTGTTGCTATTGTTACCATCATACATTGTCTGTGTTGATATTGTTACCATCATACATTGTCTGTGTTGCTATTGTTACCATCATACATTGTCTGTGTTGCTATTGTTACCATCATACATTGTCTGTGTTGATATTGTTACCATCATACATTGTCTGTGTTGCTATTGTTACCATCATACATTGTCTGTGTTGATATTGTTACCATCATACATTGTCTGTGTTGATATTGTTTACCATCATACATTGTCTGTGTTGATATTGTTACCATCATACATTGTCTGTGTTGATATTGTTACCATCATACATTGTCTGTGTTGATATTGTTACCATCATACATTGTCTGTGTTGCTATTGTTACCATCATACATTGTCTGTGTTGCTATTGTTACCATCATACATTGTCAGTGTTGCTATTGTTACCATCATACATTGTCTGTGTTGATATTGTTACCATCATACATTGTCTGTGTTGCTATTGTTACCATCATACATTGTCTGTGTTGATATTGTTACCATCATACATTGTCTGTGTTGATATTGTTACCATCATACATTGTCTGTGTTGCTATTGTTACCATCATACATTGTCTGTGTTGCTATTGTTACCATCATACATTGTCTGTGTTGCTATTGTTACCATTGTTACCATCATCTGTGTTGATATTGTTACCATCATACATTGTCTGTGTTGATATTGTTACCATCATACATATTTGTCTGTGTTGATACATCATACATTGTCTGTGTTGATATTGTTACCATCATACATTGTCTGTGTTGATATTGTTACCATCATACATTGTGTTGTATTGTTACCATCATACATTGTCTATGTGTACATTGTCTGTGCCATCATACATTGTCTGTGTTGCTATTGTTACCATCATACATTGTCATATTGTCTGTGTTGATATTGTTACCATACATTGTCTGTGTGCTGTTGTCTGTGTTGTTATTACCATACATTGTCTGTGTTGCTATTGTTACCATCCATCATGTTGATGTCTGTGTGTGTTACCATCATACATTGTCTGTGCTATTGTTACCATCATACATTGTCTGTGTTGCTATTGTTACCATCATACATTGTCTGTGTGTTGTTACTGTGTTGTGATATTGTTTCCATCATACATTGTCTGTGTTGATATTGTTACCATCATACATTGTCTGTGTTGCTATTGTTACCATCATACATTGTCTGTGTTGCTATTGTTACCATCATACATTGTCTGTGTTGCTATTGTTACCATGTATATTGTCTGTGTGTTACCATCATACATTGTCTGTGTTGCTATTGTTACCATCATTTGTCTGTGTTGCCATTTGTCTGTTTCATTATAATCATTGTCTGTGTTGCTATTGTTACCACCATCATACATTGTCTGTGTTGCTATTGTTACCATCATTGTTGTCTGTGTTGATATTGTTACCATCATACATTGTCTGTGTTGCTATTGTTACCATCATACATTGTCTGTGTTGCTATTGTTACCATTACATTGTCTGTGTTGCTATTGTTACCATCATACATTGTCTGTGTTGGTATTGTTACCATCATACATTGTTGATATTGTCTGTGTTGCTATTGTTTGATATTGTTACCCATACATGTCTGTGTTGATATTGTCTGTGTCTGTGTTGCTATTGTTACCATCATACATTGTCTGTGTTGCTATTTACCATCACCATCATACATTGTGTGTTGTGTTGTATTCTTTGTTACATCATACATTGTCTGTGTTGATTTGTTACCATCATACATTGTCTGTACATTGTCTGTGTATTCTTACCATCATACATTGTCTGTGTTGCTATTGTTACAGTCATACATTCTGTGTTGCTGTGTATTCTTACCATCATACATTGTCTGTGTTGCTATTGTTATCTTACCATTTGTCTGTGTTGCTATTGTTACCATCATACATTGTCTGTGTTGCTATTGTTACCAAAATGCCATGTTGTCTGTGTGTGTTGCTATTGTTACCATCATACATTGTATGTGTTGGTATTCTTACCATCATACATTGTCTGTGTTGCTATTCTTACCATCATACATTGTCTGTGTTGATATTGTTACAGTCATACATTGTCTGTGTTGCAATTCTTACCATCATACATTGTCTGTGTTGGTATTGTTACCATCATACATTGTCTGTGTTGCTATTCTTACCATCATACATTGTCTGTGTTGCTATTGTTACCATCATACATTGTCTGTGTTGCTACTGTTACCATCACTGTCTGTGTTGGTCACACATTGTCTGTGTTGCTATTCTTACCACCATGCGTTGTCTGTGTTGCTATTCTTACCACATACATTGCCTGTGTTGCTATTGTTTCCATAATGCATTGTCTGTGTTGATCTTGTGTTGCTATTGTTTCTATAATGCATTGTCTGTGTTGATGTTGTGTTGCTATTGTTACCACATAAATTGCCTGTGTTGCTATTGTTTCCATAATGCATTGTCTGTGTTGATGTTGTGTTGCTATTGTTTCCATAATGCATTGTCTGTGTTGATGTTGTGTTGCTATTGTTTCCATAATGCATTGTCTGTGTTGATGTTGTGTTGGCATTGTTACCATCATTCATTGCCTGTGTTGCTGCAGGTGGCAATCACACACTGTGCTGCTGGTGACTGTTGCGGGCCACACCGATGGTGAACATGGCCAGTGATGTATAGCGGGACGGCAACTGACACACTCTCACGACAATGTGGGAAGACTTGCCAAATGTGTATGTATATAGAATGAGGAAGCATCAGTGCCATACATCCTCCAGTCACCATTATTGATAAGATATTACTTGACAGGATACCTTTAGGCAAATGGGAGGAACCTACCCATCTATAGATAAGTTTTCCCCACTCCTCTGGAGTCCTCCACATTATTAGACACTGCTTCCTTGCTTTGTCTTTCCATTCTATATGACCTGTACAAAGACAGAGCAAATCAAACAAACATGTTTACTAAGTATTGACATAGCAACGACTTCACAGTATAGAGTGTGAATATTTAATGATGGAACATGTGCAAGTAAATGAAAGCTCAGTATTCCTATTGATTGCAATTATTGGTCACAAACCAAACACATTGTTCAAAGTATTTGTGAGGTATGAAACATAAAGTTGCTGCATACAAAAGCATACTTCTTGTAAATAGTTTTCGAGTCAACAAAGATACATAGAGAATCTCACCCTCGTGTCTACTGATATGAAATATATCAACACGAGTTGATAAAGTTACAAATTTGTACCTATATCAACGAGTGTTGATATAATTGATATCAGTAGACACGAGGGTGAGATTCTATTTAGCATAAAAAATCACTCTTTCTTATTTTCAATGAAAAATGTAAATCTCCGAACACGGTACTGCCATTAGACTTGCAGTGCAGCGATGTCATAGCATGGTGACATCATCAAGTTCATGACATCATAGCATTGTCAGGGCATTGTACAAAATCTACTGTCAAAAGGAGATATCGTATGAACTCACACAAGCAATATCTCTTGTTTGGGATCATAAATCGCTTTCTGTATGAATCCACGACTATATGTTGTAGACAGACTAACAATCAGGGCATATCTGGAATCTGAAAGCACTCAAGAGGATCCTGATATAGTGAAGGGAGGCAGCTTTGAACACTGGGGCCTCTCTGTGTGTATGTGCAACCTGCCCAGTGTTTCAAGTAATGAAATAAATGCTATTCAGTTAGAGAATAGGAAGGCATTTTGCCTGTTGCGGATGTTGTGTACATGCCATGGGTGTAATTTTGTTTATCTGCCATTTCGTTGCCAGTTCAACAATCATATGCACCCGAATCGTAACACCTGATTTCATATTTTTTGGGGTGTATTTTGTATGTAACCACATGCTGTCCGTGTTATTGACAGTGAGCCTTGCCTTGCCGTGCCTTGTCTTGCAACGGCTCTATGCAAATACTGAACTGTCAGTACTTCGTCCTGCTAGGCGGATTGTGTAAATATTTGCTTAATTATGAACTTTGACAGTGATGACAATGATATGCCTGGAGAAACACAGCCTTGCTTGCAAGACTGACGCCATGTCTGGTTTTCGTCCAGGCGCAGACAACCACCTGCCCATTTGTCAGATTATGTAGTTGACATGAATCATGAACTTGATGAAATAACAACTACTTGATCAGAAGTGTGGGAAGTGCACATTTTACTAGTTCATCGGTTTTGTCCAGATTGGGTGATAGGTAGGGCTTGATATTGCCCTGAGTCTCATATTGCGATATATTGCAATAATTTAAGAGATATTGCAATATACTAGTATATTGTGATATATTGAATGGAGGGTTTCTGCCCAAGTGCGTACATCATAAATTCATAATAGCTCTGTGTGTGTGCGACATTATCTTCTTAGTTGCTGTTACACCAAACTTTCAGGCTCCCAGTCCTCATTGTGCATGGGTGTATGCCAATGGTTTACAGATAAATATAATAATATAGAACCTTAATGTGGAATGTTTAATTGAGGTATTGCAACAAAGGTTTGATAACATAATGATAAAGTATAGTAATAGTATAACATAAATTTCATGGTCAGTGATTATAAGGGGTTCACCCATTTTGTTCTTGGGGTTGGGGGTGGGGGTGGCGGTCAGCAGTTTTTGTACACACGTTTTAGGGAGGGGAGGTGTTCAGCAAGTTTGTACATAACTCTATGTTTAAAATTACGCTAAGAAATTATGGGAAGGGGAGGGGGGTCATTGATTTTGTACATGACATGCAGGAGGGTGGGGAGGGGATTTTGTACATAAATGTTAGGGGGGTCATTCATATTGTACATGCTTCTCCATAAAAATCATCATCACACCCCAAGCCATAAGTTATAAGCGGTCCCTTAATACAGTAGGGTCTTATACAGTACAGTCTGGGTTTTTTTGGTTACTGTGAGTATAGTTCAAGTACTAAAATGAGCGAAACACTTCTTCTTACTTTTATAAACTATAATTCACTGCTAATTTGAATAATGACCCTCTAAATTCTTTCAAATATCAAAAGCGCATTGCCGATTTTGCTCCTTCACAGAAAACATTGGAAATAAAGCCACAATATGCCTTAATTTAGTAGTTTCTTGGTATAATTTGACAACATATGAAATATGTGATAAATAAGCTTTCAAATGGTGTGAAATATTCCTAACATAGAGTATTTGTTTCTTTACACGAGAGTTAAACGTTACCCACCTATGCATCATCACTGTACAAGTTGATAGCCACTAATCACTGTACGGTTTCTAGTTAGTTCATGTTATCATTTCTAAATAATTGAAGTTCCTAATTATATAGTTTGCATCATTTTCTCTTACTTCTAAATTCAACACAGGTCGACTAAATTAACACTTCAGTTTGCTATTATTCTGATTTTCGGACAAATTCTTTCAACATTATCAGTGACCACTGTATTATCAATCACCCATCCAGAAGAAGTTATCAAATGTTGTAGCACAGCCTATTTGCATGTAAAAGTATACTGTACTTTGTCTTTAAATACACTTTTTTGATCGAGCATACCTGTTCAGACGACATCAATGAACCAAAGGACGAGCGTACAGCGCACTATATCCGGTTTGCACTGTATGGGATCATACACAGTGCTTAATTCCTCCAAACTGTCACATATGAAACCCTTCACACCCACAAAACATAACGTATTTGGTAGAATATTTGGCACTTTTGGAGCCACTTATAAAGATACTCCCACTTGTAAAATGTTACATGAAACCAACAGAAATAAAACTATTTTTGGCACTTTTAGAGCTCATTTTATTGCTTGGAAATCAAGGTTAGATAATCCAAAGGGAGCTAACTCTGGATAACCCGAAATATTGCAGATTCTGAACCATATCGCGATAATTATACTGTACCGGTATATACCGGTTTACCAGTAATATTGCACAGCCCTAGTGATAGGCAAACTACTGAACTTGAGAAAGTATAACGAAAACATTAACTTGATGAACTTATGAAGCAGTTAGAGGAAGATAGAGAGATAGCTGTTCACATTAAGCATATGGAGGATGAAGCATCTGAAACTAGACATTAGGGAGAACGGAGATGACTATCAAGAAAGAGAAGGAATGTAGGATGTTACAGGTTGCTACAGAAAAAGCCACAAGAGAAACTGAGAATAGGGTTAAAGAAGCAAAGTTTATTTCATCTATGTTTGACAGTGCACATAAGTTGGACAAGCCAGATATCAGTGAGACATCCTATCCCACTATCCCAGAGAACTTAACACTGAGGTAACATACACCAAGGAATGTACTGACCAGTGTGCACCAACAACTAATAGACATACAATCCAAGTATTTGCACCCAGACAGATATGAGGATTCCCATGTCAGCCCAAACTTGCTCCAGATGTTACCAGTGTTGATTCCCCCATGAACACAAGGCTGATTTCCTCTGTGTATTAGTGGTGTGACGATTCATCGATGCATCGATCCATGGGCCGCCGATACAGTGAATCGATACAAAGTTTTACATGGTTGTATATCCCGATACGATACTTCAAATGAGCCATGATACATCGATGTTTAACTTTGAATATTGCCGAAGTGCGATATCTGTCAAGAACAAAGACTTACTTTTGTTTGATGATTAAAATATTTGCTAACTTATTTTCCCTTCATAAGTAAACTTTTTCTCGGAAATTCTTGTGTCAAGAACTGTGCCAGACATAGCGCTTGCATGTTATCAACATTCACAAAGTCTGTGTATAAACTTACTATCTCGTTTCCGAGTAGCCTAGTGGTTAAAGCGTGGGCTCGTCACACCGAAGACCCGGGTTCGAATCCCCACATGGGTACAATGTGTGAAGACCAGTTCTGGTGTATCCCGCCGTGATGTTGCTGGAATATTGCTAAAAGCGGCGTAAAAGCAAACTCAGTCAGTCAGTCCAGCAAGGGCAGTGGTGTTGTTCACAACTTAGTTGAAGCTGGACTAGTACAAGTGATGAAGAAGACAGGAAGACTTCCGAGTCATGGTACATGTCATCATGTTGTGGAACACAATGATAAACCCAGGCTGGTGATTAAGTGCCCTTATGAACACAATGCTAAACCCAGGCTGGTGATTAAGTGCCCTTATGAACACAATGATAAACCCAGGCTGGTGTTTAAGTGCCCTTCAATGGTAAAAATCTCAACAAGAAACTGCTACCTGGACCAGACTTAGGACCATCCCTACTTGAGAGTTCTTATGAGCATTCTGTTGACATTGCTGGGGATATAAAGGCTATGTTCCATCAAGAGTATTTTGGGCCTACAGCCTTTTACTGAAATAAATCTGTCTGTCTGTCCCATCATGTGAAATTTTGCCAAGGGACAGATCACTTCTTCGTTTTCTGTGGTGTGACATGAGATGCCATCTTGAACCAGATGTTTATCAATTTATCAGTTTTACGGTACAGACCTTCCTGCTGTAGCATTCAAATGGCATTACCATCAGTGTTGTTAAGTATAAAAAACCAAGAAACAATTAAAAATACTTCCTTTGTTTGTCATGGGAAACAGGTTGTATCAAGATGTTTTTGTCACGTGCAGAAAGGGCATTCCTTTGTGACTTAAATAGGTCATACAGTAATTAGTACACATGTCCTCAAGCCTTTCGGTACAACCAGATGCTTAATCTTAGATAATCATTTCATCATTACACATTTGCTACCTTTGAAAACATTTTTTTTGTTTCAAAAGAAATATTACACTTCAAACCTTTCATCTATGATGATGGAGTCTCTCATTTCATTGATGCATCAGTTAGGGATGAAATGGTATTCCGCGGTTATCAACTAATGTAAGGTTGTCAGTTTTCTGCACTAGGATCATATACCAAACCGAAACAGACCAAACCGAAGGCCTTGTACCACAATACGTACCGTACCATGGTAAGAGCGTAACGTTTCAGTGCTTCATCAATTTACACCTTGCAATATGAAACATGACAAAGCCAGAGATTCATGTTCCAGTTCTGTACTGATATGCTAAAGGTAACATCTACTACTTGTTGCACCAACCCAGGCTGATAACAGTGAGTGGTGACTTTACAGCAGCAATCAATATACAGATTCATATACACCTGTTATAGCTAGTCACTAGCTGTTATATACAACCTCTTGACACACAAAAACAGTGCAGTTTCAGTCTGGTGTTCTACATCATGACAAAAGCTAAGCAGTCTGTATAGATAGGTAAGTGTATCAGCTCTAATGATAACATACACCCAACAAGCCTGCAGTTGTAAAGTCACAGTAAGCTCTTCTCCATATGCTGATGCCTTACCTCTTTTATTGAGTTCATCTAACACTGTGTAAATACCATCTGTGGAAAGCTTCCCTGGAATTGCATTAAGGATGAATAATATACCATAACAGCATTCAAATATGGCTGTGGCTTTGATTATGAGCTTGAGAGTCAATTGACCTTTAATTAGACAAATCTGACAAATACAGTGTATGCTACACACAGAAAATAGGTTACTGTTGCCTGTCATAAAGATGTCAGAAAATACATGCAAACAATTACAATAACTTCATTATATTGAAGTTGTCACAAAAGGCCTTTACTGGAACCTTATAGGAAGACAATTCCAAGTTTCAGTGAGTTTCTGTAAATCTTTGGGAATCAGACGTCCAAACACGACCTAAATCAAAGTGTGGTTTATCAATCCAATGTATACAACAACTGACACCAAGTACACACTTACACTTAGGGGTGAGTATTGCAGAGAATTTTCATATTGCGATATATTGCGATGCGGAAGCATATATTGCGATATGTATTGCAATATATTGCAAGGATTATTGTTTTAACAAAAACTACTTATAATCGAGTTAATGCTTGATTATAAAGCAAAAACACAACCAAATCACTATGATTGATTAACCTTTTATAAAAACTTTTAATCATCAAATAAAAACGTAAGTAACATTTGGCACTAATGAAACAGGGAAAAGATCAATTCGATCAGCGTATAGCAATACGTATCGTTTTCATGTCTGAACAGGTAAATACCGGTAAACCAGTTATACTGCGCAGCCCTACTTACACTACAGATGTAATGCAGAGTAAAACTGACGACCTCAACCATATGGAAACAGATTTGTCACAGTCCAAAATATTTTTACCATGTAAGTAGAAGAAACTTTCATCTACACGGATGATACTTAAATTAAAGTATATGATATTAATAACCTACTTGGAGAAGGTATAAGTTAGTATCAAGCTATCAACTTGCTAACCATATTTTCTTAAGTAATCGACAATAATTCAGAGCGTGTTTCATAATTACCAATTTCTTTGACTTTCAAACTTGGCACGTCTTAGTATCGTAGTACCTGAGGTACTATCACAATATTCAATAATGTAACTCTCCTGTGGTTTTATAAAAGTTTTGCAGCATGTCCTCAATCATTTTCCCATGACAGATTTGCTCCCACTCAACAAAGCCAAGCTAGAAGTGCTGTATTTATTCCTATATTTAGGTTTGACCTGACAATTATTCCAGCAAGTTAACAAAGGATACTGTCAATGGACTTGTTATAGAAGAGTGGGGAACTCTGTGCCTCTGTGACATCTAGACTGTAGTTTTTGATGTGGCGATGGTAACTTAAGATAAGGCTACACCATGCTTCCAGCTGTTTCTTCCGTGTTTCCTGATTGGGCTGAATGCTGGAACATCCAAGACATATTCATGATCATCATCATACATTTAAAATGAAAACAATATAGTTTCAATATTAGTACTTGTTTACACAAATATCACCAAAGAGGACTGATGAAAGGCACTGGCTATAAACAAAATACACAACATCAGCACTTCTTTCGATCGTTATATGCTCCACATATAAATAACAGGTGATATATTCGTCTTCGATAGCTGACATACAAATAGGGGAAATCTCAAATGATTAGCCAATGTCTGTTTCTGACGAGTATCAATCATTATATCTGTCAAACCAAATCTAAATCGTATCAAAGTATCTTGCTTGTAATGTTTCCTAAATATCTCTCGCAATCTGTAATAGTTTTAAAGGATCTATACACACCAAATCAAGAAATTATACTAAGGGCATTCATCCAATTCTGACAAAACCAATCAACAGCTGTTTGACGAAATTTGTTCATAAACAGCAAAATAATGCCAAAACCCTGGAAAAGCCACACATATATCAAAACCCATAGGAAAAGAGCAGATACCTTTTGTGTGATGACCATGTTATATAACCAAGATTATCTAGAGTGAACAACATGTTATAAGGCGTGGTCAGCAAATGCTGTTCATGCATTTTCAGCATTTTAACCCCATGCAAGGCAGTGAGGTAGCCTAGTGGTTAAAGCGTATACTTGTCATGCTGAAGACCCTGATTCGATTCCCTGCATGGGTACAATGTGTGAAACCCATTTCTGGTGTCCCCTGCTGTGATATTGCTGGAATATTGCTAAAAGCGGCGTAATACCATACTCACTCAGTACTGACACACTTATGCAGCAAAGATGAAAATTTATACAAAGTGTGTATCGTCCCCATTCACCAAATAATATGGTGTTGTAATACCAAGATTAAGGAACTTCTTTGTATTTCTGTCAATTGGTTCAATAGTCTGATAACCCTAAGTTTCAGCCAGATACAAAAGTATTGGTTGAATCTGTGCAACAAAATGTTTAAAAAAGTATTTAGGTAGTACGCCCATACCAAGTTACTTAACAAAGGGACATAACACTGTGATACTAAAAACCACAAGGTCCAATTTTGCTCATTGGAGGGGTCTTGTTTTATGCCCTTCTGGCTTTGTCTATGAAATATTTGAGTGGAAAACAATGACTGATCCCTTCAGAAGATACTTTTCCAGAGTAAGGCAAAATTGGAAAGGAAGGTTTGTTTACTTTTTTTCTTTCACAGATTCCCAACTATTTAAAATATTGCAATGCAAGATAAGGGAGGATAATTCCCGATTCAAATACCTTGTGAAACTTTAGGCTAATTCTAATTGAAAACTGTTTTATTCATTACAGTTCAATACAAAAGTCTCCACTGAATTATTGATATAATGTATGTTGTCATTCAGCACAGAGCACTTTTAGATCAAACAGTTGTTATCTTCTTGTTACATTGTTCTTCACATTGATCTAACGAAAACATACATCATGTGTAAACTATTCACATCTAACTTGTATCAAAAACAGACTGCCTGAGTGCTTCCACGGTTTAATGTACATCAGTAATGTTACTACTGGCAATATAGAGGGCATTGTTCTTGAATACCCACAAAGTTGAAGGAGAGTATTAAAAAGTCTTAAAGTTCTGCTCCAGAAAGGAGCACTACCACCAATTTCAGTCGAAGTCAAACTTATTGCCATGGAAACACAATACATATTTTAATGAGAAATCCCAAACCATCAAAAGGCACCAGTTCACAACCACACCTATCTATGTGCCAAGTTTGGTACGGAAGCATTGAATGTTTTTAAAGTTCTGCTCCGAAAAAGAGCAATACCACCAATTTCAGTCGAAATCAAACTTGTTGCCATGGAAACACAAAATATAATCCAAAACTACCAAAAGGCACCAGCTCACAACCAGACCTATCTATGTGCCAAGTTTAGTGAAGAAGCATTGAACAACCATTGAACAGTTTCAAAGTTCTCCACCGGAAAAGAGAATTTTGCCTGGATGGATGCACAGACAGTCCAAAATAATATCCCCACAAAACTTTGAAGAAAAAATGAGGAATGCCTGACAATATTACTATAGCTAGATATCCCAAGGTATTTCTGTTTTTCCTGCAAAAAGTATAAACATTTTTTTCATTCATATCATGCATTAAATAGCACTGATCTAGAGCAATTTATGTTTCGTCCCAACAATCTAATTACGGCGTCAAGCTGCCAGGTGGTCAGTCCTCACTCACTTGACCATGACAGACACATGAGAGCTGTCCACCTTGGCAGACTTGTCATTCTAGCCTTGTTCATATGCATACAAACACATATTGGAATGAATTCGGCCCCAACATTGTGAGTAACACCGTTGCTGCTTGACGTAGAGTCAGTACTCCGAATACCGTACACGTTAGGCCACCGGTATACCCTGAATCGCTTCCTACACAAATACTACGTCATGGCGCATGCTGTTTAAAAGGTTGTCCAATCATCTTGCCTGCCCAGTAAGCCGGTTGTGCATTCCGTTTTCCGTTTTAACCATGCGTTTAGTCAAAAGAAGCTACCCTGGTCATTTAAATTCGTACAAAGTGACTTTAATACCGTACACTATTTCTTCCAATATCGTACACGTATTGTAATTCCGTACACTATCTGAAAGACACTTCCACTGCTGTTAGTTCTTTAGACAATTTAAATTTACTGGTTAATTATAAATTTGGAATAATGAACGGAGGTTACTCAGGTTCAAAAACTATATTCATATACACTCCTTTATACCAAATTATTAGCATTTTTATTTTTTGTGTTTCTCATTGCCCGACCCTTCTAATTTTATTGTCTCCCCCCCCCCAAAAAAAAAACAAACCCCAAAAACCACCCCAAAACAAACAGCAAAAACAAAAATAATAAAAAATGAAATAAACTAATAATAAACATTAATTTCTTCTTTTTCATTCCGACACCGCTACTCGAACCTAAAACGTACAGCCTTGTCATATAAAATGTTTATCTATCCAAAAAGTTTCAATCAGTCGCTCCCACAATTTCAAAGAGTGAGTGAGTTTAGTTTTACGCTGCACTATTCCAGCTATATGGCGGCAATTTCCAAGAACGCAAGAAATTGTATTAAGAATTACAATAAATGAGAATCAAGAACATTATTCAGATAAATTTGTCTTAATTATGTTTTGTTTTTTGGGGGGGGTTTGAACTTGGTGTCTACACATACAATAATGATGCCCTTACTAGAATGTAATGGACTTTAGTTGATGAATGTCGAGTGTTGTGATCTTAGCTTATCTTGAAAATACAGATTTCTCGCTGATTTGTAACGATTTATTTATCACTTGATCATTTGTGATGAATAATCACAAGTGTATTTCTAAAAACATTTGAAAACAAGAACACAGGAAATACACAGGCCTATACATCAAGTTCTACCACACAGATAAACGAGAAATTCGGTGGGGGTGGGGGTGGGGTGTCGTCCTTCCGGCAGATTCCGCGGGAAAATTTGAAATGCAGTGACGTAGTAACAGAGCATCACCGTCATTAACGGTTTGATGTAGAATCAGCGCGTCATTTGAATGTAATAGTGTGAACTGTCAACACGTCGGATAACTGAAGCATGGGAATAGAAATTTCACCGGGCATCACTTCTCGTGCGGGCGGTCTCTGTCTTATGTCACTAAAATCAAGACATCCTGAAATGCATCGCAGAAGGTAAGAGTTTAAACATATCCGTTATAATACAAGATGGGCAATTAGAGTTTTGGTAGTGGCGTTAATATGAAGACAGTTAAAATTGAGGAAACAGCCACGAAACCAATTTACAATCATAGTGAATCAAACTTGGCACCACGATGTGATCAACATATAAATGAGGCCATCTATCAGGAACTTCTTTTATCTCCACTTATCAATATGCTGTGTGTTTATCAACTTGTTGAATAAGGGTCATAATCAGCTTATGTAGGAGTGTGACGATGTCACGTGTTTTTTCTGTTGGCAACAATGAATGCAAATAATTTGGCACACAATAACTGAATGTTGCTTAAAAAAAATTGTATTCATACGCAAGTAAAAGAATGTCCAAAACGATAGATAAATCCAGAATGGCATTACATGATAAATAGTTTATTACCCACTTAGCCTAGGTTTTCGAAACGTACAAGTTATGGGTAATAAGCACGCCAGTGTCGCATGGTTTTTGCGAAATGGAAACACACTCGGCAAACAAACTGTAGATTATTTCGTAAACCAAACACAGAACACTCCCTTCTACTGTAGGGTAGGTAAGCGACCGTTCATAATTTATGTCTGTGGGGTGGGGTGTTTGATGATTTTTATGGAGAAGCCTGTACAATTTGAATCCCCACCCACCTAATATTTTATGTACAAAATTGCTGACCCCTCTAGTGCATGTGTACAAAATGGGTGGAACCAACCCCCACCCCACCTCCAGGACAAAATGGGCAACCCCCCCTTAAAATCATATCTCTCTCTCTCTCTCTCTCTCTCTACCTTCATCTTAATGATCTCATCGCTCGTGAGTATGCGGTGGGAAGTCAGCTTCCGTGGATTTGATTTCGAAGCTGATTTTTGTTTTATTACAGGAGCTGGAAGGGAAAACTCGGACTTGATAGCGTCCATTGCAGCAGCCTCAGAGACTGGAAACAATGTGTCCGCCGGCAAGCGATGCATATGATAAGCTCGAAAATGTATTTAACCTTTATAAATGTTTCATTGTAGATGCTAAACGAGAAAGTGAACGAGGTAGATTTTCAGGAGGAATCAGTGTTTTCATTAACCACCAAGTAGTTTCTTATTTTCAGAGACTTTATGATCAATGGGCAAATGTTATTGTTTTCAAACTGAACGCAAAAGTGTGTCCTACCACCATATTTGTTTTATTTGTATACATTCATCCTGAATATTCAAAGGAGATGCAGATGAGGATGGAATTTCAGCTCTTGAGAAGAAGCTTTTGCTTATCTTATCAGACTATG